TGCCGCGCGCGCGCTTCCCCGGCCCGCGGGGGCGCGCGCGGCTAGGCCAGGCGCGCGCGGGGCGCGGTCCCTGCTCCTGTCTCCATGTCCGTGTCCCCCCCCCCCCCCCCCGGGGCCGTCCCCCCCCCCCCCCCCCCCGCCCCCCCGGCAGCGCGGCCCCGGAAGGCGCGGCCTGTGCGCGGCTCCGTCCCCGCCGAGCCCCCGACATGGCTCCCGCCGGCGGGGGGAGGGGGGGGCGGTGTCGCGGCGCCGCCCGCGGGCCCGGCCCGGCCGCCCCGCCGGGAAACAAAGGCGGCGGGAGTGGCCCGGGCAGCGCCGGGTCCCCGCGGGCGGGGAAAGGCCCGTGGGCTCCGTATTCCCCCCCGGACAGGGCAGCGGCGGAGCCGCGGCCGATGCTTCATGGGCTGAATGCGGAGCTTCGCTCGTCCGGGCTGGGTGGCTGAGCGGCCCGTGGCGTTCCCGTCTGTCCCGGGCCTCGGGGCAGCGCCGGCAACACCTGCGGGGGGAACAGGAGGGGCTCTGGATACGGTCACTGCTGCTGCCTTGTTCTAAGTTCTGTCTGCCAGTAACTCCGGTGTCACGGCCGTGCTGCGCCTGTCGCCGCACGGCGCCCTGTGACAGATGTTCTCACACACTCGTTCCCAGTAACGCTCACCACGATGGTTAGGAATTGGGCATCTTGCAATTCCTTAGCAGGAGCTACTAGCTGCGTGGATGATCATATGTTTCTTTCCTGATTATTTTTTTTATCTTAATGGAATACGTATTAAAAATAAAATGGCTTTAATAAAGAAAGAGGAACTGGGGATGGAAAGGGCTTCTTTGTTCTGTCTTCTCCAGAACGTTACAAGTCTAAGAGCTCAGGACAAGAGCAGCAGAAATACATGCAACATGGTGACTGGTGAGTCCAGATTGTCCACATGCTGCAAGTTGTGTGTGTGTTTTCAGTAACCTCAATCTAAGTTTTATCAACTAACCGTATGTACTCATGATCTTCAAAGAGTTTCTTGAACTTATTTCCTGAAAAAAATGCAGTTATGCTGCACAGAGAGGAGTTACCTTCCTTTACTGGAGAAACTTATTGCCTCGATCCTCTTTTTTGTTTAAAAATGTAGTATTAAAAACATGCTGCTGAGATCTAGTGAGGCGTTTGCAGTTTCCAGTGTGTGGCTGTGGGATAAATGGAATGCACAAATTAGTGTGTTTTAATAACTAACAGTAAAAGTGACAACTGCAGCAACAAGCTGCATATGTTGCCCTATAAAAGTCTGTTGAATGCACAGTGGAGCCTTACAGAGATTTTCTGTCATAAATGCTGTAAATGTCATAAATAAGGTGGGTTTAGTTTTAATAAGTAAAATTTCTGGGAGTGCAGTGTTACTTTTCTCAGTCTTCCTCCAGACCTGGTACCTCTGCTGCTGTGTAGAGTTTTGTGCAGTTTTGAGTGGTTCAGTGCTTTTAGTTAAATAACCCCAAGCAGCCTTAAAACTGATGTGACCGACCCTGAGAGAACCTTAGTCCAGCTGCACTGTTACCTGCTAGGCCTGTAACTCCTGTCTGATTGCCAGAGTAGGAGAGCTGTGGAGAAAACCCAGGGAAGATCCTGCTGCTGTTCAAGGGCAGGAGCAGATGCCTCGTGTTGCAGTGGGGCTCTGGTCCCTGCCTGGGACTTGGAATGCTGCAGGGACTCAGGTGGGAGTCTCACTGGTTGAGGTATTAGTGGCTCTCAGTGTGGTAACTTAAAGCACATATAAAGGAAGATTTTTTTTGCATGCTAGGAGAGAGGAAAAGAGAGATCCCTTGTGACAGAGGAAGATTTACTAGTAGGGGAAGACTGGCCTAGTAGGCTCTTGATTTTGATGCTAACAAGAACTAATTAAGATGGAGCAGCCGAGCAGGGTTGAGGATTTGTATCTAAGAAATTTATGCTGTTTGTTCTGCTTCCTGGTGGTTAGAAGAGGTAGGTGATGATTTGGTGGTGGACCTCTCCTTGATCTTTGGGCTTGCTGCTTGTGCTTCTGGGTTTCTTGTGGCTTCTGGTCTCTGCTATGCAGGAGAATGATGTACCTGTGAGCAGCTTGTGACAGAAGGGTTGGACTTCCAAAAGCAGAAGTGAGGGATAATGGATAGCTGTCGTTGGAAACAGTGGCCCTGCTGACCTCCCCCTCTCTTCTTTTGATAAGATTAACAGAAGGTGGATAGCTATCCCCTGAGCTGTTACAACATAATAAGCACCAATACAGGAGCAAGGAAGAAGGCAGGACCTGGGAGAGGTGAGCCCATCCTATTCAGCAGCAGCTGGCTGTCAGAGAGCCTGTAATCTCAAACAGCACCTGTGATGTTCACGTCTTGGATCCCAGCGTGGCATCCTTGAGGCTTATTTCTCAGAAGAGTCTTCCCTCTCAAAGCTGTGTCTGCTGGTGCTCCTCAGGGTGGACATAGAAAATGATGATGCTATTCTGAAAGCCTTGCTGAAATATTGAAGTCAAATACTTGCAAGTTCCAAGTAGAAAATTGGGACAAGTTAATCCCTCAAAATCTGTTTTCCAACCTCAGAGTGTGTAACAGCATCTCGCAGTTAAATGCAAAACACATTCACAAGATCTGGTGTAGGTCTTTTCTGAGTCATTGCAGATGCATTAACAGTGTTGTTCTCCCTTGGTTTCACACCTGGGAAAAGATTAACGTGTCCTATAGTGGTGTAAAGTACTCTTAATGCTTAGTACTCCTGTAGGAGTGAACAGTCTTACTGGCTCTGTCACACAGAGTTGCCTCAAAAATGTGTCAGATCAGTGTCTCTTAAAGGCAGGAGAGTTATTTTTCTGTCCAGCTGTGGGCTCTACAGGAGCTTCTATATGCTGATATTTACAGAGCTGTTGGATTTGCTAAGGGAACACCGTTAACTGGTGCTTTTTACTAAACATTTCTGCATATTTTAAGAATATTTTCTGTAGTAATCTCATACAGCAACAAATGTAGCTTAGTGAGTCCAGAAACTATAGATAAAACGTAAATTGCCTCATGTGTGTTCCCCTTACCTTTGATATTAATTCTTTTCTCCTGTGAGGCTGGTGCAATGCACTAGCCATGAACCTCCATGTAAACAAAAACTGCTATGAGTTTGGACTGCTGACACATAATACAGAAAGGGGGTAGTATTTGCTCCAGCTCTCCCAGGTTTTGATGATGATTGAAGCTGGACTTGTGCAGTCTGCTTGAGTGCCAGGGAAAGCCTAGAGCTAACTCTCGTTTCCACACAGGCTTTGGCAGTCTTACGTTCAACCATGTATCTCTGTCTTGGTTCTGCTTTGTTAAATCATGGTAAAAGGATACATAAAGTTCTGCTTTTGTACCTGTTCTCTTTAGAACTACTGTCACAATGTACACAGTGATGTCTGTCCATTTTTCCTCCTTTATGCAGCTTGATCTAGTAGTGCTGAATCACCTCTACTAGTCCTAATCTTGTGCTGTTTCACTTCTTTTCCCAACTGTCTCGGTATCTGATGGTGTTTTAGCTCAAATCTATTTATGCTTTATCAAGGCTAATTAGTGCCTTAGAAACAACCAGTATACTCACTGCAAAAACAATTTGTGGGTTTAAACAAGATAAGTCAATAAGAGAAGAATGCTGTCAGAGTATACCCTAGAGCTGTCTGATGTTCTCAGGTGGAGTCATTCTTGGTGGTGGTGGTTTTTTCTTTGCTTTCACTTCCTCCTTGATCATCTGATTACTACTTCTGTCTCTCTTTTGTCTTCATACATGGCATGTTTCATGTTAACCTCTTCCTATATTAAAAGGAGATCAAGAAAAGATGATGCTGTTGTCTTTACCTTTGTCATTTCCAGAGCTCTGCTTCTCTGTGTGTGTAGTTCCCTGTTTGAGGAATCTCTTGATTCCAGTGCTCTCCTTTTGCTTGCTCTGTTCAAATCGATAAGGCTGCTCTAGTCCTAACAGCGATGGGCTGAATGCTGCATCTGTTGCTCTTCCCTTGTGCTTTCCATTAGCTGCCTAGAATAGCACTGCACGGCCGGATAGAACATACTGCTCGGTTCTCCACCTCTGTGGCTGCAAAGCAGGGCCACAGATATTGATTTCTGAGCCTCTGTTGCTAATAGTGCATGCTGCAAACAAATGGAATGTGCAACTGGATTTGTGTGGTACGGGACTCGCCTGGTCTGGGTGAGGTACAGAGCTGGGAGAGTTTATATGGCAGTGAGCTCCGTGAATAGTTCTGCAGTCACACCTGGGTATTGTTCAGACTCCCCTGAGCTGCCAAGGGTTAATCTGAGAAACGTGTAGTAGCACAAGATGCCTCATAAAACTAAAGCATCTGTCTTGGGCATCTGGCTGAGCATGTTTGCCAGTTTTCATACAGTACTTGCTATGAGAAATTAGTTACTGGAGTTGGGAATATCCTTGTGTCAACAGAGTGCTGTAGTTAAGACTTTTACTTTCTCTTTCCTTAAGGAACCCTGAGGACCTTGCAATATGAATAATTCTCTGGAGAACACCATTTCCTTTGAAGAATACATCCGTGTGAAGGCACGAACGATCCCCCAGCACAGGATGAAGGAGTTTCTGGACTCCCTGGCTTCCAAGGGGCCAGAAGCTCTGCAGGAGTTTCAGCAGACGGCCACCACCACAATGGTGTATCAGCAGGGTGGCAACTGCATTTACACGGACAGCACAGAGGTGGCTGGGTCTTTGCTTGAACTTGCTTGTCCCGTGACAACCAGTATCCAGCAGCAAACTCAGCCAGAGCAGCAGATACAGGTTCAGCAACCCCAGCAAGTCCAGGTAAGTGTCCGAAATCATCTCTAAATGTATATATGACTTGCTAACCCATGGAGTAGTGTTCAGAGCCAGCTGCTGTCTAACCTGAAGCCTCAGACAAGTACTTAAGAGGCAGGACCAATTAACTTTATATAGAACAGCACTATTTTCCTTTCATTTAAGGAATGTGGTAGTAAATTTCTCTCTTGACTGTGCCTTCCTCGTGCCCCGCTGTGGGAGGAGCGGCGTACATAGCAATGGAGTGGTGTCACCTGTTGGAGAAATGGTCGGCAGTTCTGGCGTGTACACAACTCCCGAAGCCTTGTGCTGTGAAGCTGCTATAAATACCACCCTCCTCTGCCTGTCTGACTATCTGGTTGTTCAGGGTGGCCATGGGATCTAACTTGCCTTCAAGATTTTTTTCTTTTTGTGAAATCAATTATTTTTAAATGGTTTTACTTGAACATTCTGAAAGTTGTCCTTCTTGAACTGGCTTTTAAGTGAGGGGGAAATGCAAGGGAGTCAACTTAGGATATGAACCAGGGGATGATACGTTTCAGGAAAGGAACTCCATATATGCACATGCATCAAGGTAGATCATCCTTTTGCACAGTGGAGGGAGTTGTCTTAATTACGTTTTCTTAGCAGGTATTACATTAGGTATTTTATTAAGTATTAAATGAGAAAATCCAGCACCAGAGGGGAAAAAAACCCAAATGTATAACTTAAGATAACTGCTTTTGTCCTCAGACACATTTTGTAACTTGAAGAGTTCATAGGTGGCAGAACTAAGGTTTTCTTATGATATGTCTCCAAACAGCTGAACTCTTGTCTACAGCTGTAATTTGGATACACTTCTGCCTTCTGTAGCAGAATGTAAAGCTGTGAGCTCTTCTTTTACAACAAATGAGGGTATGGAGTCACAAATGACTGGAGATAAGGTAGTGTGAACTTGGTGCAGTGCAGTAGACTTGTGCTAATAGCTCACTTGTGTGCTTTTATCCTACAGCAAAGACAAACTTACCTCCTTCACTGGTAACTCATCTCCAGTTACTCTCTATTGAGTAAATGAATGCTTAACTGGAACTTGTCTTGAAAGGCTTTTGAACAACAAAAGCCTCTAGTCTTGCAGGCATGACTTGGATCTCTGCATGAGGCTATTAAAACTGATCAAGAGTGGTTTTGGTTCTGCCAGCTACTGTGTTGTCTGGAAGAAGTTTTGTTTTTCAGTGGAAGAACTAGGAGGGTTGGCTTTTGAGTGCCTCAGCCTTGAAGATGTGGAAGGCCCCCAAACCAATTGTAAAAGTCAAAAGGAACCTCTTTTCTATTTCCTCTCATTTTTTTCCTGCTGCTGCCTCCTTTCAGAACTACTCAAAATTCAGGCTTGACCCTTGCAAGTGTTCTAGTCACAGAGGTAGAGAGGGAGGTCATATATCATATGCTCCAGAGAAAAATAACCTGGCCTTCTTGGAAATAAGCATAGAGTTGCTGCCAGCACCTGTTCCTGATTTTTAAACTGAATGGCCTGCACCCTGAATATGAAAAATTTCTAATGAAAGTCAAGATTTCAGCAATTTTTCCTAAAGAATGTTGTCTACTATCTCCTACTTGGTTTTGATGTGCCTCTGCTTTTAGATGTCCGCTTTCCCATCTGTCAGTACAGATCATAATTAGGGTTTGTGTTGCCTACCCTGCTGCTCACTTCAGGGTGTTACAACCCCCCAGAACACTTAGTGGCACATCTGGTACTAGATATGGCTGCAGCTTTTGTGCATTAGCAAGGCAGTTGGACTCAGGTGTATTTGAGCAGCTAGCTCAGAATTATCTTGAAGTTTTTCTGCAAGAATAGAGTGGAGAAGAATGTCTTTACCCCTTTACAAGAGTGTTTTTCTATCAGGATTTGTTATTGAGACATGATTTATGTTAAACCCACGATTTAGTGTTCACTTGTCTTTGGACTGTCACTGTGGCAGCAGTGGCAGAGCACAGGGTCTGAATAAAGCTGGATTTTGTTGTAACTCTGGGGAGTGACAGTTCCTGTAGAGCAGTACACCTGGTCCAGCTGGCTCCGTCTGCTAAAATACTGCTTGCGTTGTATTATGACAAATTTTGGTCATCTGCCGAAGCCTCTTAGCTTTTGATTAAACTTGTGTCATCCCAGTACTTGACTTGATAATCTGTTTAGTTCTTGCTAATCCAATTGCAGATCAGTGGAAGACCCTTTGAATGACTGTGCTTATGTCTGGCAGTGTGACCGTGCTGCTAAAGGTGGCTAATAATACGACCAGTCAGATGACCTCACGGTTGCAAGTGCTAATGACAACCTTATGATCGTAGTGATAGACAGTGCTCAGGTTTCATCCTGGGTTTTACTTGCTGTGGACAATCAAAGGCAGTGTTTGACTGCTTGCTGCTTTTATTTATCCTGGCAAAATAAATTTCCTGTTTGAAGAAGTTGCCACCTCAAGATTTTCTTGCCTAAAAGGTTCAACAGAGTGTTGCCAAATGTTTATTTTGAAGGCTGAGTGGATGCAACTGTTGGGTTATATACACTAGTCAGTGCTACAGTTCAAGTGTCCTGGAGCTCCTTCCACACCCAGTAAGAGTTTAGTATGTCAAGTTGTCATAACCTGTGCTGCATCGGGGTGGCTGGGAAGGGCTGTGTTTTGCTGCAGTTAGGTAAGAGTTTTATCAACCCTGCCTTTGATGAGATTGTTGCTTGTTGGCCCTGTGCGTTGAGGCCACGGAATTGACAATGCCAGCGGGAAGAGGTGTCAGTGCTGACTTGCTTATTGAATATAGTGTTTCCGCAGAGGTCAGTGAACCTCTTGTGCCTCTTCCTCTTCCATGAGAAGGTTTAACTGAAGTAATATCAGAGGACAGAAAGCATCTTTGCTTGGGAAGCATACGGAGAAGATCCTCAGCTTCAGCTTTTTGTGAATAGGCTGATGTCTAGGTGGCAAGAGTTTCTTGGCCAGGGCTTGAGGGGAGGATAGTACAGGTGAGCAAATCGCAGAACTGTATAGGGAATGGTTAAATGCCTATATAAAATACCTTTCAGTTAAGGTATTTTCAGTGGAGGTAGGGTTCCTATTTGTTTATGTTTGAAAAACATGCCAGTATGTTTTTAGTGTAGCATCAGGTATTAATTAGCATTTGCTTGGGCTGAGTGGGACTCTTCGAAGAGTGGTTATAGTCAAGAATAGTGTTTTCAAGGTATCACCTACTTATATATGGAAGTAGGCTTCTGTTGGAGAGATTCTTGGTTCATTTGTTTTAAGTGTTTTAGGCCTAAATCCCTCCCCAGTGTACAGCTTGACAGCATAATCTTGATATTGTAACTGTTCAAACACACCCAAGGCCTAATTTGGCTGATGGAATTCTCTCTCTGATATTAATGAATGAGCAGAGGAAAAACCTGGAGTGAAAATCTATCTGGCAGTTGTTCTGAAAAGCTAACTTGTACCCTTCCTTTAGACCTTGTTTACTTAGATAGCAAAGAACTTCCTGTAAAGTAGTTAAATAACAAGTTCCAACATTTCCTGCTACTTCACTGATCAGTCTTTTCACTTACTCTGTACTTTAAATCTGTTTTGTACTTGCACATACACTTTCTGGTGTAATATTAGAAGGATTTCTTTGTTACAGTGTTAGTTTCTAGTGCTGGACTCTCTTCAGCTTAGGACTGTTGTTGAAGAAAGTGTTTTTTAGGCCTTCTGTCCTTAAATTGGGCTAAAAAAATTGAGATTGCTCTTCTCATGCTCTCATAACTTTTTGTCCAGGTGTTTGATTTCATTTGGGAAGTTTGAGATGCACCCACATTACTTCTGGGGAGGATTTGGAGCATGCTTCTCATAGCAAGTTGGCCACCTGCCCCTTCTTACCTCTTGTAGGTTTGGAGCCTGTCACTTTGGGTTCCCTCCAGATGAAACTAAGCTGGAAGATGCCATCTTGTGTCTCGGCGTTTGTTCGTCAAGCTTGGCTAGTGGGCAAGACTAGACCTAAATTTGAAATAGTCTTCTGGAATGTATAGTGTGGACGTTGTTCATACATCTTGAGTCTTGCTCTGAGGTCTGTTCTTGGTGTGTACTACCACTTTCTACTGTAAATGTAGCCTCAGAAACTAAGTTCTCTTTGTGAAAAGAGGCATTTAAGAGCATGTCAGGTGCTCCAGGGCAAGCTAGATATCAGAAAATCCATGCAGGAAAGAGTTGGTATGTGCTCATTTGGAGTTAGGTTATCCAGTCAGTCCACAGATGAAAGAATTACCAAGCAAAGGAAATATCAGTTGTTTCAGAACTGCAGTTCTGCAGTTTGATTCCTTTTTGGGCAGAGAATCTGCACAGGGCAGATGTGTTATGAATCCTACTTGAAAGTTTGTCTGTCAACCATGAGGAAAAAAAGTTTTGGCAACCAGGCTTCAGCTGTTCTCATGCTCGTGGAGTTACTTATTGACTCTTTGCATGTGCTCACTTGAGGACAGAATATGTTTTTGATCTTAATGTGACAGAAAATTTCCTTTAAGGAAATCTTAAAAATTTCGTTCTGCCTTCCTATTACAATACAGGGCTGATTTCTAATGCTTTTGATTCTCTAGTCAGCTAGTACTTGATCCAGCTTCTAGTTACTTTATGGTGAAAAGGCATTTCTGTGTGATGGTAGTCTGCTGGGAAGTGATTCTTTTCATGCTGCTGGATCCAGATTTCTGGCAATAAGTAGTTTTTCAGTACTGGTAACTTGGCATGTTCCTCTCTTGCACCAGTGTAACCCAGGAATTCTGAGCATAATGTTTTTGCTTTAATCTTCAGCATAAAGTGAAGATTTAAGGTCCTCCCTGTTGGTCTTGGCCTGTAAATTTAAAACATTCCTCTTTGTACCAAGTCTTTTAAAAAATCATCTGCTGATGATGTTTAGTGTAATTCTTTGTCTAACTTGCTATCTGAGGAAAAAAGGACAGTGAGGTCAATGTAAGAAGCTCTGATCTCAGACTGGGTGAAGCCTGTAAATTTGAAATTAATGCTTTTAACACTCCTGGGTACAACCTACTTGAACATAGGGAGGGATTTACTGCAAGATACAGTTGTTAAAAATGGATGTAATTCACAGGGGATGCGTAATGCATGGTAGGTAGAGCTCCAATCTCCTTTTAAATAGGAGCAGTCTCATCAGAAGCATGATGTCTGCAGTTTGCAGCATGGAGAACTTCAAGTGATTCTAGAGTCTGACTTCTTCATCTTGTTTGTGTCTGGACTCATTCTTTGGGTGTTAACAATGATAGGGTTGACTCTAAAGCAGTAGCAAGACATCCCAGGTATAGGAGATAGGATTTAATCCTGAGGAGTATCATAGGGCCCCAGGGCATGACTGCTCAGCTACTGAAAGTGAGGGAAGTTGCCTGTGACTTTCAGAGACTGTAGGCTCAGGCTCTGAATGGTTAATTGTTCAAATCTGTACCAGGGGAGGTTTAGGCTGGACATTAGGAAGCATTTCTTTACCAAGAGAATGGTCAAACACTGGAAGGGGCTTCCGAAAGTGGTTGTTGCCCTATACCCCTCCTTATTTAAGAGGCATTTAGACAGGGCCCTTAACAACAGAGCTGTAGCTTATGGTCAGCCCTGGAGCAATCAGGCAGTTGGACAAGATGATCCGTGTAAGTCCCTTCAAACTGAAACAGTCTCTTCTACAAAAGCAGAAGGGAGCAAATGCTCTCTTGTCACATTTGTTCTTAGACCAGACCTCTTACTGACGATGCCTCTTGCTTTAACCTATTCCATTACCTTTCTAGTTGCACTTGTGATAAAATTGTTTCAGTGCAGGAGCAGACTTTGAATTCTCACTGCTAGCAGAAAAAAAATTATTTCCTTTATATATGTTACGGCACTAACAGGAACTGTAATATAAAACTGTGTATGGAAAGGAGGTGGGGGTAACTCTAAGGTGCTCTCAGTCAACTTGTGCAAATTCTGAAAGCATTGCAGAAGCACAGGGCAAATGATGTGTTTGCCTGTTTCTGTGATTTTGAATCCTAGCAGATGTAGCAATTGTTTCCGGTTTGAAACTGAAAATAAATCAGTTCAGTAATGCATTTAGTTTGTGCAGTCTTTGACCTTTGCCTCACAGGTAATCTTTTGAACGAGGACTTAAATTAATCCTAAGGACTATATTAGTGATTTTTTAAATGGAATATTTTAGAGAATACTTGCCTTAGGGATATGATTGCATATGGCTTTCTTAAACTGAACTCTTACCTGGGATCTATGCTTGGGCCTGTTTGCCCAAGGCAGTACTCATGCTGCAAGGCAGTATGATATCAAATAGAATGGAGGAAACATCCCATAGATGACTTTTCTTTTTCAATTGACTGCCTGATCAGATCACTCATTGATGCAGCTTTTTAAACTGTCATGCTGACATAAGGTTACATGTTTCTTGTTACCTTGCAGGAAATTATTATAGATAGTCCATGTCATCAGGATTACAGTATACTGCACATAGTTCCCAGAAGGAACTGTACCCTGTTCTTCCTGGAAATAAATTAATTCTTAACAGGAGGTGACTTATAAAACTGGCCCACAAGTGGTGCATTTTTCAACCCCACTTTTTTCCTTAACAGCTCTTTAATTGGCTGTAAATGATCCTTAACATTTTTCAAGACTTCTTAGAGGTGATGTTGGAAAGTGAGATTCTGTGCAGTGCAGATGTGCATGGTAGTTCTTTTTAGTATTGCCAGATTGACCAGTGTGGCATCTGTGCAAATGCTGTGTTAGCCTGACCAGCTCCAGGGAGTGAGGTAGAAAAAGGTGAGAGAGCGTGAGTAGGAAGACATAGTTTTGCAACTAAATAAGTCCTTGTTGGCTCCAGAGAGAGGTGTTGAGTAATTAATTCCCTCCCTTAAGATAAGGTGTTAATGAAGCCTGGAGAAGCAGATGATCATGGGAACCTGGGATATCACTTCTAGGACAAGGCAGATGTGACAAAGTGTCTGTGTAAATGTGAGAGTCATAGTGGAGAAGCATCTGGAAAGGAGAGCAGAGCTCAGACCTCAGCACCCTGGGAGTGAAGATACAAGCGGAGTTGGTTTTGGGGCCTGGAATGTGAAGCAGTACCTCTGACTCCTGGCTTTGAGTCTACCCCTGGGCTGCTGCTAGATATTGTGACAGACCTTGGACAAATGACCATCGATGTGAGAGGGTGTGATTTATTTTTTTTCCCTAAAATGAAAGGAACTGATTTGGAATCAAGTCAACATGTTTTGTGTGTGTTATTCAGCATTGTGTAAGTGCATGAGCTAGAAAATACAACTGAGTAGTTTGGACAATAAATGGTATTAAATGGAATAAGTAAATAATGAAAAAAAAGATTGATTTTAATTATAATTGCCAAAAAAATACTTCTGAAGTTTAAAAAACAAATGCTGCGGTGTTGGCCCTTAGCACGTGACAGAGATTGAGGTTGAACTTGCAGCCTTCTGTGTGGACACTTGCTTGTGTAGTGTCACTATTAGTGGTTGGTTTAGAAGTAATATTCCTGTACTTCATGTAGAAAGAGCCAAGTGCTGTTTTTGATTTACCCATATTTCTTACTGCCTGCAAGTGATCCTGCATCCATCTGGGGACCAGGGTGGGAAGTAGTAAAACAATCTTTAGAGCATGGTAAGAATGAGGTGAGCTCCTGCGGTTGTGATGTGTGTGACCTTAAAGTCTTGCTATTGCAAGGCCTGTGCTGAAATAACATTTTAGCAATGCAGATAGGTCTGAAGTCTCTTTTGGCTTCCAGGGATGCAATCTGTTGGCTTGAGCCCACAGAGCTTTGAGGGTGGAGATGTAGCTCATGTGCTGTTCTGTCTGTGCTGAGAAGTGTGGTCTTGTGCAATGCTGAGCAAACACATTTACCATATTGCTGTTATCAACCAGGCATTTCTGGAATAACTTTGTTTTGTTTTCCTGACATCTTTACTCATGGATTAATGTATGAAATCATAAATCTTCAGTGATGGACTGTCTCTGTTGAATCGCTGATGTTTGCTGATCTCTAACTGCTGGGTTGGTGTCATTGCAGGTTCAGGTCCAGGTCCAGCAGTCACCGCAGCAGGTCTCCACCCAGCAGCTCTCTCCGCAGCTCTCTGTCCATCAGGCTTCGGAGCAGCCAATACAGGTCCAAGTGCAGATCCAAGGCCAGGCTCAGCAGCAGGCATCCCAGACAATACAGAGTCAATCTCTTCAGAGCCCCAGCCCATCGCAGCTGCAGGCAGCTCAGATCCAAGTGCAGCATGTGCAGACTGCCCAGCAGATCCAGGCTGCAGAGCTACAGGAGGAACACATACAACACCAGCAGATCCAGGCCCAACTCGTGGCAGGACAGGCCATTACTGGTGGCCAGCAGATACAGATCCAAACAGTCGGGGCACTGTCACCTCCACCTTCTCAACAAGGCTCCCCACGAGAGGGAGAGAGGCGGATCAGCTCTGCCAGTGTCCTTCAGCCAGTGAAGAAACGTAAAGTGGATATGCCTATTACTGTGTCATATGCTATTTCAGGGCAACCGGTTGCCACAGTGCTGGCCATTCCTCAGGGCCAGCAGCAAAGTTATGTCTCTTTAAGGCCAGACTTGTTAACGGTGGACAGTGCCCACCTGTACAGTGCCACTGGGACCATTACTAGCCCCACTGGAGAGACTTGGACCATCCCTGTTTACTCCGCTCAGCCACGTGGTGACCTTCAGCAGCAAAACATAACCCACATTGCCATCCCTCAGGAGGCCTACAATGCCGTCCACGTCAGTGGCTCACCAACGACACTGGCTACCGTGAAGCTGGAAGACGACAAGGATAAGATGGTGGGAAGTACTTCAGTAGTGAAGAACTCTCACGAGGAAGTGGTGCAGACTCTTGCTAATTCAATCTTTCCAGCACAGTTTATGAATGGCAACATCCACATTCCAGTGGCAGTGCAGGCTGTGGCAGGGACATACCAGAACACGGCACAGACAGTGCACATATGGGACCCGCAGCAGCAACAGCAGCAGCCCACACCCCAAGAGCAAGGGCAGCAGCAGCAGCTACAAGTCACTTGCTCAGTAAGTTAAAACTGCTTCTTGGTCTCAGTCTGTGATTAACAACTTGCAAATGTTGTGGAGAGGGAGCATGTCAACAGACAGCTAGTGTCTGGGAAGCAGAGATGTGATTGTCCCAGTAGCCTGGGCATGACATAGGGTACTTGATAGGTGTAAGACTGCAGCAATGTGTTAATGTTGGTCAATAGTTATAGGATTCAAAACTTCCCAAGAGAAAGTACGGTTTTGATCTTCGTAGTATAAATGAATAGATACATGCTCGTTGCCAGCTTCTTCATAGCAGGTCTGCAGTATTCTCCTGAGCTGTTTCAGAGGTTGCAGTGGACAGGCAGGGATGATTGCAGCCAAATAAGGTGTGTGCAAATATATACTAGTCATCTAGTTATCAGTTACTTTGTTGTTATGTGACACCAGTGCCCGGGTAAAGTGTCAAAATCTGACTAGTGAACAAACTTCGTGGATCAGGTGTAGCTGTCTGTAACACCATGTCCTGCTTCTAGTAAGTGCCTGGTGTTCAAGAGCACAGTAACGAGCAGTGGCAAGTAAGCACCTCTTCATAATCTGTGGCAGACATGGCAGCCAAATTTGTTAGTGTTTTTTATAGACTTTGTTGCCAACTTTAAGCCGTAGATTATTTCAAATTGACTTTTAAAACTTGAATAACTGGGGCTATTAGTGGTCTCTCTTATATGTGCAAATGGATGTAACTTATTTTTTATTACCAGAAAGTGAAAAGTGATTGATCTGTCAAAGCCTTTTTTTGCTGAATGGGATGAGGGCAAAAATACCCAAGCCTGCTAGCATACCTGTTGGTACACATTCTTTCCAGTTTATAAATAACATTGTTGGCTTTATAAAGGTGTCTGTGCCCTCTGCTTTGTCAGTAAGCACAGAGACAAGGAGGATTGCTTTCTGTAGTCATGTCTGATCATTTCAAAGTTGATCATGGGCTACAGCCCACCAAGGTCTTCACCAAAAAGGGTTGCCTACAGCTCTAGATAACTTTCAGATCCTGGATGCCCTGTTTTATAAAGCTGTACTTTAAGCTACAGCTTATGGATCTTGTAATGCATGGGGGGGTTTTGTGGTTGGGTTTTTTTGTTCGTTTGTTTTGTCACGTTCAAAGACCGTTCTGTAATTCATCTCTTCCCCTTATGGGTAATTCAGAGATCACTTCATCACTTACAGTTACTTAAACAAACTAAATTGATAGAACATTTTGCCTTTCTCCTAAATAGGATTTTTAGACTTACTGTAGGGTCTTTTAAGAGCCTGAGCCACATTCTTAGGAGTCTTTCTGAGGTATTAGCTCCATAATTTCTCCAATGGTTACTTGTAAAGCTTCTGCTGATGCTGTGTATTCCTGTGTACAGTGGTCTGCAATTCTTGGGTATCAGACAGTTTTCTGATCCCAGTTCTGTAGTCTGTGAGGTGTGGCATAAGCCTCTAAATACAGAGGCAATTCCATGAGGGATGCACTCTTCCTGTAAGAGGCCAATAAAGCTACTACAAGTGAACATCAAACTTTGGGAGTTGTCCCTCTCAAAGCTGTGAAACTGAGAAGGAATTTGCCTTCCTGCCCTGCACTATCCTCTGGCATTGTGCTTCTGTGGGACCTGGTCAAGTTGCAGCTATTTTGCTCTATTTGTTGAAAATATAAGTCCATTAAGAAGCAACTGCCAGATTAACTCCAGACTGTGTCCAACCTTCACACTGGACAAGGTGTCTGTGAGGTCAGATTGTCCCTTGGGTTGGGCTGAAGGAGGGGCTTGGCTCTGGGAAGCTTTCAGCTCTCAGGAGAGTAATGGAGCACCATTCTGGAGGAGAGCAGTGGCTCAGTCCTGGCTCCTACAACAACAAGGTGTCAGTTCACCCTTGGACTCTGTCCTCGTTAAGGCAGAGGCTTTTCTTTACAACTTAAACTTTGTCGCCATCTGCCTTGATTAAAGCTTGGTCCCTTCAGTCTCTGCAGCTGTACTACACACTGCTGCTGCAGGGGCTGATAAGCAAAAAGCTAGTAGGAGCTGGTGCAGAAAATGAAAAGCCAACCAGAGGCAGCTGGAAAGCTCCAGTCTTGAGATTCTTGCAGACTTTGCCTCTTAAGGTGGTTGGTTGGTTTGTTTGTTTATGTTAAGTAAGGTGCAGGTATTTAAAGTCTCTGTGCCATTTTTCTTGTGGTCTCTAGTGCTGTCAGAACAACTTTCACTAATATTGACAACTGGCAGTATCAAAGGAAATGTTTCTTTTTGAGGTAGCTTTTAAGAAGGAGAAAGTAAAACCTGATATAAGAATTGCTATCTCTGTAACATTCAGGATGCCAGTGAGAGCTTGACTAAGGTCTGTAAAGCCCTTAATTAATAGCCACAACACTTTCTGTGGCATGGAATTGAGAAGCTATAGTGAAGAATGCAGAGTGAGTGCAGCTGGAGGGCTCATTGCTGCTTTTGGGTCAGTGCCATTGGTTGCCTGACAAGTAAGTTTCAGTTTTGAGGTAGTAATTCTTGGTGACCTAAGGTCCTGCTGCAAAGTAAACTTCCGAAGGGTCTGGAGATGTCTTAGGGTCTGTAATCAGTCATAGTGGGTTGTATTCACACATATTATGTATTCACACAATAGTGGGTTGTACCGGTATTTGGTATTTTGAGAACATTGCATTACAACTGAATTGATGTTTTGATGCTGGTCTTCTAGTCTAATTGCTTTAGATCTCCTACAAATGAATTAATCTTATCTGTTGCCGGTGATAAGAACAGAGGGTATTTATTCTGTGTGCCTGTTATGTACTGCATAGTGAAGAGAGCCTGAGTGAGGAGGGATGCAGCCATGTACAGCATGTGATTGTACCCAGAACCCTCCTCAGGGCAGTCCAGGTGTGGAGCAGCAGTGGTTAGGAAAGCTGATGGCACATTCCTCTTCATCCCTGCCAGGGGCTGGCGTTCTCTGCAGCTGCTGTGTCTGCGAGGGGCCATGGGCCACTCTTGTGGTGAGATGGACTTCAGTGGTGGTTCAGTGTGATGAGTTAGCTGAAGAAAGATGTGCCCGTTCAAACTAAAAGTGTTCTTGGAGAGTAGGATACTCTTTTGAGCAGCAATTCAGGTTGGACAACAGAAGTTGCATTCCTTGAGTTAACTCCTTTTTTTAGAGGAGTGTTGCAGAAGGCTGGTGTCCTGGGGCTAGAGATAATTGTGGCATTGCTTGTTTTTTGTCCAGCTGTTGCACATTGAAGTGGGTGTATATAAACTGAAGTGTTTTTTTTCCTAGGCTCAAACTGTTCAGGTTGCTGAAGTTGAACCACAGCCACAGCCGCAGACTTCACCCGAACTTCTACTTCCAAACTCTCTGAAGCCAGAAGAAGGTCTTGAAGTGTGGAAAAGCTGGGCACAGACCAAGAATGCAGAGCTGGAAAAAGAAGCTCAAAATAGACTAGCACCTATTGGAAGTAAGTGTCATGCCAACATGGCCTTTGTTTCTTTTCAAGTAGGATTAGGAATGACTAAAATGTTAGGTGTTTACTGCTCTGGAAAACACTTTTGTTTAGTCAGTGATTGTTTTTAAACCTAAACTTTTATTTACTCTACAGTACTAATTATGGTGTGCTCCCACTACCACAGGACATGTCTCAAGGGAGATATTAGCTCAGTGCTGAGCCCCCTTGAGCACCTGGTAGCAGCAGAAAAAGGCACTGCAGGAGTGTGGTGCATGGATGAACAAACAGGCTGTGAATGCCAGCCAAGCTGGTAGAGCAGTCGTAGAATTGCTGTTTTCATGTTGCTGCAGGGCAGCATTTCATTGTGAACATGGTAATAGAAGGCAATAGTCATGTCTTTGGCAGGGCAGAGGATCTTCCTGTTAAACTCTTGCCCGTTTTATCTTTTAGGAGATCTGACAGCCTAAGATCCTGATTTATTTTAGCTTACTTTACTATACTGGGGGAATGAGGTAGTACTGGACCTGCCAGATAGAACGAGAAAGCTGGAGATGTAGGAAATCATTCCTGAAATATTGGGAAATAATATAGCTTTATGGCTTAAATAATATGGCTTTGTTTTGTTTTTCCAGGGCGTCAGCTGCTGAGGTTCCAGGAAGATCTCATCTCTTCAGCTGTGGCTGAGCTGAATTACGGTCTGTGCTTAATGACACGAGAAGCTCGAAATGGTGATGGTGAACCCTACGATCCAGATGTGCTCTACTATATCTTCCTGTGTATTCAGAAGGTAGGAAAGGACACCTCTATGTGCTGCAGGGCTATGCGTGTTGTCAGCATGTATAGGGAGAACTCTTGGTTATGACAATGGAGACTGTGGTTTCTGTTAAGCTTCTCAACAATTTTATATGAAAAAAGTATCTCTGCTTAAAAAAAACAAACCCAAACCTCAGATGACTTGTCATTAGTGCACAGCAGTGCTTTCACCTATGAGTGAAATTGTTAATAATTGAATTGTTAATAATTGAGTTCAGTATCATGGTGAGAATAATAAATCCTTTTAATTTTTTTAGTGGGAGGAGGAGGGTTGGATGATGTTTGAAGGAATCGTCAATGTCAAAACTTAATCTAGTCGAAGCTTTAACAGGCAAGAGCTTATCTTTGTGTGGTGTGGGAAATCTGAGCTGGTAATGCTAGCGTGCTTTCTAGAAGAGCTGCAGGAACAGAGGTAAACTGACAGGGGAATTGAGCATCTCTGTCAATAACATGGAAAAGTAGTGTCCAAAGAACAGTCATGTGAAATAACTTGGAGTGAACACACCTGAAGTAAAAGGTGAAATCCAAACAGCTTCACTTTGTAAGATGTTTTTTCCTTTTTCTGTTTTGGCATTCTCATGGTAGTAATTGAGATTACCTATCCTGTACTGGCCTTGGTGCAACTGTCCTCACTCTTCAAGTAAAATGTGTTAGTCTTTAGTGCTCTGCTGTAAAATGCTTGACTAACTGAGTACATGGGCCTTTAGGGTAAGGTCTTGTCTGAGGATCACACTGTACTGGACTGTGTTGTGAATCTCTTACAGTATCTCTTTGAAAACGGCCGAGTTGATGACATCTTCTCAGATCTCTACTACATTCGTTTCACTGAATGGCTGCATGAAGTTCTCAAGGACATACAGCCCCGTGTTTCACCTCTTGGTAAGGACTTTTGTTTAAGAACTTCAAAACTTTCCAGAGTTTGGAATATTTAAACTGAACCTACCTCTTGAGTGTAGTCTGAATAGAAACCCTTTTGAAGTATTTGCTGTCCTTAGGGCAGCTTGTGCTAGTCATGGAGAAAAATGTTGCATCTGCAGTGAATGCCAGGGTTACTGTGCTTGTCAGGCTCTAGCCCTGACTGTTGTTGAGTAGTATTTGTCTATCACTTGTCACCCATCAGAAGGCAGATTGTTGGGATTTTGTAGTGTCGTGAGATTGGCTTGCTTGGAAGCCAGCTGATCCTTGATTTGAATCAGGCTTCCTCATCTGAAGTACTAGTACATCTTGCCTCTAATATGTATTGTTACTTTGGGAGATAATACAGCACTGTCATGGTGCCATGGATCCAGATGGATACTGTCTGCAGGACCAACTGAGTGTCAAAGGAAAAAACAATGAGTGTTTAGAGCCTCCAATCAATTGCAGCTCAACCTTGTGTTCAGGAGGTGATGGCAATGGGGATGGCGGAGCAGTTCCAGAAGAGACAGATTTTGACAGAGTTGCATATGAGAACTAGATCAAGAATTGCATTTTCAGAGCATGGAAACGTGGTTTCTCATTGCTTCATTCCCTGTGATCGGATTGGACATCAGTGAAGAAGCTGTTGCTTGTGTTCAGAAAAGTAGCTGATGTTTACAGGCTAGATGACTAAGTAGCACCATGAGTTTTGGAATCCTTTTGTTTTCACTCTGGCTGTTTGATCTGTGCTTTGTCATTCCACAAGCCCTGGAGTTCATAGTGTTGTCTGTTTTTCTGTATATCTGTGTATTTGGAGTGTAGTATTTCTCTTCTACACAAAGGAAAAAAAAAATCTGAGAATCAAAGGATTACTCATGTGTCCAAATACATCACTTGGCACTGTGTGCTGACTAAAGCTGTGCACAGGGCCAAGAGCTGATTTGTTACACTGGCCTGCCTGCTCTCACATATTATTGGATTAAGAGCATCTGCATTGGAGTCGAGCCATTAATTAAAAGCTGTTAAAGTGAGTATTTGTTTCTCTATGGGCTAGGATGTAAAGGTGTATTGCAGAAGCACACTCTCTTCAACTAGAGGTTGATCTATGTATACAAGTGTTACATCCTAACTGTACCTGCTATTTAAAAAGTTGTTTGCACAGCAGTGAATCTTGATGTCAGTGAGAATCTCCTCCTCTTCCTTCCCTTAAGATTTATATGCTCTTCAGTACTTACAGACTATAGAATGCTGCCTGTGTTCACACTGTGTCTGTATCTTGGCATGATGCTGACTTCTGGTTATTGCAGGTTACATCCTCTCCAGTCATGTAACAGAGGAAATGCTGTGGGAGTGTAAGCAGCTTGGAGCTCACTCCCCTTCCACCTTGCTCACTACACTGATGTTTTTCAATACAAAGTAAGTACTTAAGTCTTTGGGAATCTTGGGGAATAAAAGAACTTCAGATGCCTTGACAGGGTTGGTGGGGAACTGCTGCACTGGGTCAGGGTGAAATCATGGGTTTTGAATAGTTGCACACAGAGCCCTCTTGCAGCCCCATCAGGCAAAGAAGATGCAGTACAACAAGGAAGCGAGCTAGCAGAGGGCAAACTGAATTGGTGGCTGTTGCATGCTTTGCTGTTGGAAAAGCCTTTAACTCAGTGGTTGGTTTGAGCTTCAGCCTGCTCACAATGACAGAAAATAATTACCTTGCCTCTGAATGTCCTGTGCTCTGTTCTTGCTGCTCAGATATTTCCTGTTGAAAACAGTAGACCAGCACATGAAGCTGGCCTTCTCCAAGGTGCTGAGGCAGACCAAGAAGAACCCTTCTAATCCCAAGGATAAAAGCACGAGTATCCGCTATATGAAGGCTCCAGGCATGCACCAGACAGGACAGAAAGGTAGTGTCTAGGAGTTTTCTTTGGGAATATTTTACTTACTTGGGCTTGAAGAAGTGGATGAACCTGGAGATGTTTGCAGGTAGGGAATCCAAGGCTCTGACAGTTGCCTTCAGCCCGGCAGTCTGAGTTTTCCATGTATTCTGGTCCAAGAGAGCATAGTACCTTCTAATCATAAGCCTGGGGACATACCTTACCTCAGGCATATGGGACTCGTCAAGAACTAAGGATAACTTTTTTGTTACTTCTGTTTTTTTATGGGCAAAGAGGCTATTGGGTGTAAGTGCTTATGAAGATACGGAGAAAATTCTTTGGGAGGGCTTCTCTTACCTTGATTCATGTGAACCCATACAGAACCCCTATGTAAGTACAATCTGTCCTGTTAAAAGCTGAGGTATTGCAGTCTCAGAGAGAGTTCCCTCATTTTGGGCACTGGTAGAGGAGAAATGGAAAGAAGTATATGGATGGGTTGTGAACTTCAGTAGCCTTGGGATAAAGCAAGCTCTCCATATAATGCTTTGAGCATTTAGAGCCAGGTGCCTCTGCCCTGGAACAGCCATATGTCTCTTGCCAGCTCTTGCATGGCGACAAGGTGCTGCAGAGTGCTGAGGCTGTATGGTACTGCTCAGTGTGCTGTGCTTACACAGTCTGACGCATTTCTGGGGGGCTGGTTTGTAGTTACAGATGACATGTATGCAGAGCAGACAGAGAATCCAGAGAACCCTCTGAGGTGTCCGATAAAGCTGTATGACTTCTACCTCTTCAAATGGTGAGAGCTCTTGTTTGTGTGTGTGGTGCTTGTCTGATCTGACTGGGGAACTGCGCCCTGTGGCTGGCCTAGTTCTCAGGACTGTGTGTTATTGCTGGCACAGTTTCTGTGTTTGCGTAAATTTACTTAAATGGGGAGGGTGTTGATGTGAGAGGGTGGAGTTTAGTCTGATGGCATGTAAGTTGAACTTCTGGGGTATTTAAAAGAGACAAATCCTGATTTGTGAACTGGCTGCTCCTAATCTTATCCTTGGAGGTTTGCTGTGTTGGCATGAGCTTGCTCTTCTGCCTGTGAGTTGCAAGTCATCTTGGAGCATCCACTACTGGAGATGGGATTAGGGTCCTATTCAAATCATCTTCTGAACAAAAATGAGGACTTGCTACAGAGATTGGAGGGAGCCTCAAAGGACTTGCCTCTAAACTGTGATGATTCTGATATTTAATGTAAAGGTTCCTCTGCACAGATAGATCTGCAGGTAGCCTGAATGTGAAAATACTCCATTCTTGCTTTACGCTGAAAGACCCCTAAAGCCATGTGTGTGTTATATTTACCAGTGTGAAACAAAAATTACTTTCTTGTAGTCATCACCATGGCTTTTTAAGCTTGGCATGGCCTAAAACTTTGGGACCAATGTTGTCCCTAGATGTAACTCTGTACCTTTATATCTCATCAGCCAGATGTTCACTGTCAGGATTTGTGAAGCCTGGGGTGAGGACAGTGGTGGTCTCTCCGTTCCAGGGCATTCTGTTAGTCTGGTTATTTCTGATCTTCCTCACACAGCCCCCAGAGTGTGAAAGGCCGGAATGACACGTTTTACTTGACACCGGAGCCAGTGGTGGCCCCCAACAGCCCTATCTGGTATTCCATCCAGCCGATCAGCAGAGAGCAGATGGAGCAGATGCTCACCCGGATCCTGGTGATACGAGAGATTCAGGAAGCTCTTGCCGTGGCTAATGCCAGCACCATGCACTAAGGCATCCTTTGTGGCTCAGAAGGGGTGGGGCAGGGTGATGGGGGAGGGACAAGCAAAGAGAAATTGTACAGACTTTTACACTAAAGGAGATGCCTAAGTTTTTGGTTTTTTATTGGTGTAGTTATGAAGCCCTTTTAGGCTTCTTCTCTTTAAAAGAATCTAAAGGAAAACCTACCCATTGTGTATCCTACCCAACACACCAAACTGTTGGAACCATTGGAGGCTGCATATCCCCTGCAAGCTGGGAGCTGTGGAAAGCTGCTGGTTGACTCTGGTTTTTTTTTATGATGTAGAAAATATGAACTACAGGATTGGCCTGGTTGGCCAGGGCCTCTGTCTCCCTGGAGCACGTGCAGCCTAGAGGGCACAGAATGATGGATGGACCTGCTCAGCCAGTGGAGGAGAGGCAGGCATCTTCTTTTCTTGTGCTTGGACGTTAATTTGCTGATATCTTGGAAGAAAGAGGAGAGAGTGAACTGCAATTATGATTTATACAAAAAAAAAAACAAACCAACAATTTCTATTCAGACCTTTAAGTGACATTTTTAGATGTTAAAAGTACAAACTTTACCACACTCTTCTTTTTTGGCCTAACATTGAGGCCTTAAACCTTGAGGCTTCTGTGCCTGATGGAATTCTTGTAACATACACTTGTGTATCATATAAAGATACCACCCTGTTTCTCTTATGTATTCTTACTCTAGTTGTTTATTAAGAATGACGAGCACGTCTTTTCAACATGCCATTGAACAATGTGTCTTTATTTGGGGAAGAGTGAGCTGTGAGGGTGGGGGGTCATTATACAAAGATCAGTATGCAAACTGGTTGTTTTCATCCCTGTTTGTGCTTTCCAGCTCAGCTCTGCTGGACTTCTTTCACCTCTACAAATTTTGAAGGTAGAAGGGCATAAACTTCTGTTGAAGGACCTGAATGTCTGCTTGCTGATGGAAGCTCAGTGCCAGGCTAGGAACATGGGATCTGTGAGACCAGATCAGACTGTCCTCATGTTCTGTGGCTTTACCCCTAGAAAAATCCCCCTCTCCTTTTCAAATACATCACACCAACGGCATGATGGAGGAGCTTTGAAGGGAAAAGGCCTTCCAGGAGCAGCATATGGCTTACTCCTGCTATTAACAGCCTTTTCACAGTTTTTAACATAGCTGTGTAGCTCCTGGCATCGTTCATGATCATAAACCCCAGCCCTGTAGCCTTGCCTTGCTGCATCTTAAATGGTTGCGATATTTTATATCATTAACAAATAGTCTGCTCTTTTGAACCCAGCGGGTAGCCAACTGTGCTTGAAATGGGAGATCACTTGCCAGGCTTGTTATTTGTGCCACCAGCTTCTTGGATGCAGAGATGACTCTGCTTCTTGAACTTGTCTTCCCTGCTTCTCCACCTCATGTCCCTTCCCTGTTCCAAAATACATAGGTAAATACTTAAATATATATTACAGTAAAAGAACTTAAACTTGTGTACAGGCAAGCAATTTTTCTGAAGCCTCTGTTGACCAGTACCTGTCTGTATTGAGAAGGAAGGTCTGCCCTCTCTGTTGGTTGTGCACAGTGTAAATGAGAGTAGCCATAACGTTCCCTGTCTTTGTGCTCGTGAGCAGTGTTGAGGCGTGCACGCTTAGAGAGACTTCCCAAGCCCTTGATGCTTCGTATTGACATTGGTGTTCCCAAGGAAGCCCGTGTGCTCAAGTTAGTTGTCAGTATGAGCAGTTTGTTCCCTCTGTAGGACTCTGTGCTCAAATAAGTGCAGAGAGGTGAAGTAGCAATGCACTGTTGTTTTGTGAAACCTGCACTCTACTTTAGACTCTTAGCTCAGTGTCTGCCCTCAGAGGTAGGCCAGGGGAAAACAGCCTGGGGTTGGTGCCCAGGTCCCAGTGGGTGAACTGGGAAGATGGTGCCTGGGTAGTGTGTAGTGCTGGCAGCTGTCTGCTTGGATCCATCATTGCCCCCGTGGCAGAGTGGCTGTTGGGATCATCAGTAGTGCTTCAGCTGTCAGAATCCTCTAAACCCTTCACCGTATCTTAGTGACTGGAATGTCCATCTTTGGCCCTAATTTAAGAGGTTAAGGACATTGTTGGGGCAGGCTCCCCCTATTTCAAGCAGTTGCATGTGCCTGTTGCTCAGGGTCCCCAACAGGCCTGCACAGGGTGGATTTCCCTTTCTTTTGGGCAGTTTGTCCCATCTTCTGAGCAGAGTTGCAAAGCCTGCTGCCTTGGCTGTCTCCGTAAGAAGTACAGTGGGTGTTAAACCATCTGTCAGATACCCCCTGTACCAGTTGTTTCACTAGGTGACCTTGGAAGTCACCTCTTAGTCTAAAAATTGCCAGAAGCTGCAATAACGTGACAGAACATTGGGGCAGTTGCAGGTTAGGGATGAACAGGTACTTCAGCTGAGTTTTCTGGGGAAACAGAATTCCGTGTTACCTTAAAATTCTAGGTTGTGCACTTTCCTTACAACCCTTAACTGCAGGATGATCTAAAGTCTTTGTAGGGGAAGAGTTCTCCTTGATCTGATTAGTAACAGGGAAACTTGGCATATGGTGAGCTGTGGAGATCTCCTGATGATTGGTTTTGTCCTGATGGACTGAAGTGTTTCCATTACTTTCTCATTGTTCAGATGTACATAGGAGAGGGATCTGCTGAGGCAGAAGTGGACTGCTGTACTGTTCTGTACTGTCTCATCAGAATGTCCACTGTGTTAACTTCATTCCCTATTTTTAGAGACAATCGATATACTGTGACTTAAGGATTATTTTCCTGGACCTGGCTTCTAGTCTGGCTCTCTGGAGCTAATTTAAAAGGTACAGTATTTCTAGAATATAAATACTATGTTCTTTGATAGTGAAGAACATGATCTGCTCCCTTGTAGGGGCTCATAGGAATACGTGCACAGAGTAGCACAGAAGAGTGCTGTGGCTTAGAGTTGCTGTCTGAGTTCTGGGAAATGTTCCCAGTCAAACATGTAAAATAGCTTTTTAACACTTTCCTATAACCAGCTTGACTGCTGCTTCAAGGGCATTCCCCCTCGGCTCCGAGAGTGCCAAACTGCTCGCTCTTGTATGCGTGTATATATTCAACAGGAACTCTCCCTGCCCCATGCCTTGTATGAGACAGGCTGAAAATGCATTGATCTCTAAATAAATAGAGCTGAGAAGTCAAGGTAGAGACCCTGCCATGTTGGTTTTGAGCTGTGCCCATCTTGTTGCTGGGGTATGAAAGGAACCATGGAAATCAGAGCGTGACTGACTGTTGTAAAGCACCTCACATTCTGACATGAGACTCATGTATTGTCCAAGCTCTTGACACTAACAGTGTTGCTTTCTTTAGGAAACTTGTAGCCTCTTACACGCTTGTCCATGGCAACATTAGATTTTCATTTGCTTTCAAGAGTTCAAGCATTTCCTCTGAGTGGTAATGGCTGAAGCAGCAACGAGCAGACTAGAGAGTGGTTCTTCTGTCTAGAGTGGTGAGTAAAGGGAATGGTCCAAGTAACTTAATAGGGCTTTCGTCTGTTGGCTTCTTCACCCCTAGAGGTCTGGACTTATTAGATGGGTCACAAGGTCTGAAGTAGTTCCTGAACTGTTCTGCCTTGGGCAATAAAAAAATATGTAATCTGGTCCCTAGATAAGAATCCTCTTCTGCACTGTTGCTCCTGGGGCAGAAATTAAGACAGCCTTGTTCTCAGCTGCATTAGGGCTACTGTGTGCTACAGTAGAAGGGATGAGGCCTTCGAGCCCCTTATGCTGTGGTAAGAGCAGATCCAGAAGTGGTAGAAGAGAGTCCACTTAGCATACAGGGGATGGAGGACTTGCTGGTGCTGTAGTTGCGCATCCTCTTGCTGGTCTGAGTGCTGCTAGACACTGATTGACTCTGCACAGTCCAGCCAAACTGCATTCTTGTGTGAGTTTAATAGTAACTGACTTGGAATTAGTGCTTGGACTCTTAAATCACTGTTAAAGTGGGATATCAGCTGTCTTCCACCCTATATGGGGCTTTTCTGCCCATCTTACTGCTGGAGCTGCTCCTCTCAGATATTACAGGGAATGCACCTTATCCTGATGATTCAGCCTCTTCTGTTTCACTGGTGCCAATGCATAGGAAGGAGCCTTTCTCCACTTGAGCCTCTTCCTACCTTAAGGAGCATCTCAAATCTTCTTCCAGAAGTCTAGCTGACATGCTGCCCCCAAATCTCTGAAGCACTCGCTGTGCCCCCTACTTGTCAGTTCCCTTTGCCGTGTGGCTGAAGCCCTGCCCTGAGCACTGCAGCCACATTCCCTGTATAACCTTGTGCATGGCAGCCACGTTTGCCTGCTTCTTCCTTCTCATTGGAGCTCATCAGAATGGGGAGGTAGATTGAACCCACTTACAGCAGCAATAAACCATGTCTAGAACTTGAGGGAACTGCAGGAGAGAAACGAGGTGGAGGGGATGTCTCGGAAAGGCAGGGTCCAGTTGCAGCCCAGAGCCTCGCTTGATAATGAGTGTGCAGCCTATATGCAAAATACGTCTTGTCTGTCCCTCCTGTGTTGACCCAGGTCTAAACAGCACATGTGATTGGCATCCTGCAAAGTGACCTTCAGAACTCTCCAGTAGCTTTGCCCCATGAGTAACTCACACTACAAATCATTTTAAAGAGATGCACTCAACTATTTTTTTAATTTAATTTTACTCTTATATTCTCTGCTCTTTGTAATCTGCTTGGAAATAAAATGTTTTTCCCTGCAGCCTTTGTTGTAGTCTGTTTGAGAACCATTAAACTTTGTCTGATGTTTCCATTGGAACAGAAGCCAACTTGCCTGTTTACTGCTGTGCCCGTGCTGTAGCTCAGATCAGTGTGTGCCGCCCAGGTAGGCTCAGCAAGCCTTTGTTAGCCTGTCTTTATTTTAAATAAGGGTAGAGAGACCTGTTAGCCTGATCTTGGTCTGGCACAATGCCTCCTGTTGTGCTGATCCTGTGAAGGTAATGCTGACTCGAGAGTGCGTGTCCTTGGCAGGCAGCGCTTTCCTTGGGAACGCTGTGGCTCTGATCCCTGCCTCTGGGATAACCATCTTGGTGCCTTGACGGGGAACGGCTTTCAGTGGTGTGGGCCTAGGTGCTTTTATTTTCTGCAAAGGACAGTGCTTTTCTTCCAGCTCCCTAGCTCAGGCAAACTGCAACCAGCGGGACACTGGTGTGTGGATAGGAGAAATGAGCTCTTAGCTGAAATTCAGCCCAGGAATTATGTACAGAGGTAACGGCAGGGTGGAATACAGTCCTTGATAGCAGAGTCTGGGAACAAGAATTAAACCCTGTAGAGTTCAGAATGTCACGTAACAACAAAGCACTCTTACTGTGTGGCTGTGGGAAGGAGATGGTGTTGATGTTGGCGATATTATCATCACCACCACTCTTGGCTGAAAGGTTTAAGGCCCATTGTGGATCCTTGTCACTGGCTCTTCGCTGTGCAAGGGCTGCATTTTCCTAGTTCTGGGGGGGGCCTTGAAAACCACATGTACCCTTTCTCATAGCAAAGGGAACATCCCCATGCTGAGGCTTGCACCTTCCTTTCCTACTACAGACAAACCCACCATCCCATGGGAAACAACTGTAACTTGAAGACCACAACCTTTGCAGATCACTGCTGCTGAGACCAAACAAGTCACTTGGGAGTCCTCCTCCTTTCCATAGATAGTTCACTTGTTTGGGGCTTTTCACCCTCTGTAAAAGTCACTGAAAGCCTGGCCTAAC